CCTCTGGATTGCAAGTCCACAGTGAGCCAGCGACCCCTGGATTGCAAGTCCACAGTGAGCCAGCGACCTCTGGATTGCAAGTCCACAGTGCACCAGCGACCTCTGGATTGCAAGTCCACAGTGAGCCAGCGACCTCTGGATTGCAAGTCCACAGTGGACCAGCGACCTCTGGATTGCAAGTCCACAGTGAGCCAGCGACCTCTGGATTGCAAGTCCACAGTGGCATCCACCACGGGATGATCAGAACACAGTCGTCAATAGCACCCTGTGTGTGCTGCGTGTGTGGCCTTAGCAGGGAAACAACAACACGGTTTTAACCAAGGCTGGTAGCCATGGAGTCAACATTGGGGGGGACCAAATCTTCCAGGGGGTCTGGGGGGTCCCCCCCCCCCCAGAAAAAAAATCTAAATTTGAAAACGAATTTCCTGCTATTTCCTGCCTAAAATATCAAAAAATTCACTAACACATGGGATGGACTTTTTATTTGTTTTTTTTACAATAATGTCTAATTGTATTACATTGCTCTGATTTTTCTTTTTTACCTTTTCTTGTTTCATTGTAAGTAATGGCAGAGATTAGGGATTAATAAAGTACAACCATAACCACAATGATATAAACAGAAATCTATTTTATAGCAATATATTGGGGGGGAAATTTTGAGCATATTTGAATATTGGGGGGGGATGTTCCCTCCCAATATATATTATAATTACGGCCTTGATATGAACAATATATAATAGGCGACGTTTCGGGCAATCGCCCTTTTTGCGTAGCCCATTTCAAAGCGTAGTAGCAGTAGTGGTAATAACTGTAGTAGTGACAACTTTGTAGTAACTGTAGTAGTAACAACTTTAGTAACAACTTTGTAGTAGTAACAACTTTAGTAACAACTTTGTAGTAGTAACAACGTTGTAGTAACAACTTTGTAGTAACAACTTTGTAGTAGTAACAACTTTGTAGTAGTAACAACTTTGTAGTAGTAACTGCAGTAGTAACAACTTTAGTAACAACTTTGTGGTAGTGACAACTTTATAGTAGTAACAACTTTGTGTTAGTGACAACTTTGTAGTAGTGACAACTTTGTTGTAGTAACAACTTTGTTATAGTAACAACTTTGTTGTAGTAACAACTTTGTAGTAGTAACAACTTTGTAGTAGTAACAACTTTGTAGTAGTAACAACTTTAGTAACAACTTTGTAGTAGTGACAACTTTAGTAACAACTTTAGTAGTAACAACTTTGTAGTAGTAACAACTTTAGTAACAACTTTAGTAGTAACAACTTTGTAGTAGTAACAACTTTAGTAACAACTTTGTTATAGTAACAACTTTGTAGTAGTAACAACTGTGTAGGTGTAACAACTTTAGTAGTAACAACTTTGTAGTAATAAAACGAGTCGTGTGGCAGCTTTGCTGCCCAGAGTTTGCACGAGCGGCCACGTGACCCTCGGGGGGCCTTTGATCGTGTCGGGTTCATTTCCTTTTGGGATTAAAACTAAAAATACATACATCTATAATATGGGGGGGGGGGGGGGGGGGGTGATTGCGTTCATATAAATACGTCGTTAAACCCGCCACATCCCATAAGTAAGGTTTGTCACGTGAACAGAACATGCAAATTCGCTAAGGGTACAGCAACACCGGTGTGTTGGAGAGCTAATCCACAATATGTAAAAACACATCATGGATGATATTGGTAGCGAAAGCCTACGTTTTATAAATATCTACACAGTGTAACACGGTTGTGGAGTATAATACATCTCACATCTCAGTTTTTGGAAGATTCTCCATCGCGAAACATTCTCCGGTTTCTCAGATCGATTCTTGAAGCTGTCGACAGTGCTGTAGAGTAGCAACTGTAGTGCAGTAGTAGCAACTGTATACAGTGCTGTAGAGTAGCAACTGTAGTGCAGTAGTAGCAACTGTATACAGTGGCTGTAGAGTAGCAACTGTAGTGCAGAGTAGCAACTGTATACAGTGGCTGTAGAGTAGCAACTGTAGTGCAGAGTAGCAACTGTATACAGTGGCTGTAGAGTAGCAACTGCAGTGCAGAGTAGCAACTGAACACATGCAGTGCAACAGAGTAGCAACTGAACACATGCAGTGCAACAGAGTAGCAACTGAACACATGCAGTGCAACAGAGTAGCAACTGAACACATGCAGTGCAACAGAGTAGCAACTGAACACATGCAGTGCAACAGAGTAGCAACCCCGGTTAACGTCGATGGATGCGTTCGTGAAAGGCGTGACGAGGTACATCGAAGCGACGTCAACTGCACGTGCTCGTGACAAAGTGACGACGTAGTTGCGGAACGACGTAAAACGTAACCACCGCACTTTGGAATATAAATCAGTTTCATACCAACAGAGCAAACGCACGTGGTCTGCCACGTGGTCTGCCCCTCGTGCGGGCGGTGCATGCAGACTTTGTGCTTTGCAGAAGGTCTCTCATTTTGATGTGTTTGAGCGTATTAACACGACTCCTGTTTCACTGCCGGTAAAGGCTGAACAGCCCATTCTTATTGTTTCGTCAAATTGATTTGCGTGACGGCGTAAAAATGGGGGGGGTGGAGGGGGAGAGACGTAAATGTGGTCATCGCTGCATCCATCCGAATTGGGCCATGGGGTTCCAGGGTGAATGTGACATCCTCACCGCTGAAGAGCCATTCGACTCACGTGCTTTTAAGAAAGTGGCCGTCCATAAATGACGTCACGCGATTTTGGATGATTTTTGACCCCCCCCCCCCGTCACACGGTGTCACAAAAAGTCAGACCCCCCCCCTCTCAAATATGACGTCACAATGCTCTGCCCCCCCGCCCCCAAAAACCATATTTCCATTTTGAAAGTAAAACATGCTTCAAATCGCTTTAAACTATTGTCATTGTAGTGCGTATTTAATGTGGCGCTGCACTCTGATGTTGTAGGAGAAAACATTTATTAAAAAGTCTATTCAATTAAGTAGAACGTGTTGTCTATATTTATTTAAAGTTGCGCATTTTGATGCGACGCCACATTTCTCAAACTCCCCCCCCCCTCGTCACACATCGTCACAAATGTCTGACCCCCCCCCCCCCCAGGTGCCTGACGTCATTTATGGACGGCCCCAAAAGCGCCACCACGCATCGTCTTCAATCCTCTGCGTCGCACGGGATAACTTCTTGATCATAATCATGATAATAAAGGTGGGGGGGGGAGGGGGGTGGTTAGATCGCGTAAACTATAAATGTGTCGTTCACCCACCCACCACCCGACACGGTCGACGAATAAGTAAGGTTTGTGACGTCATCACGAGTGAAACGTCACAGCACGCGGTGGTCAACGGGGTGGCTTCGTCACTCGCCGTCACGCCCAAGTTGGTCGCCGATTGGTCCGTTTTGCTCACGTGACAGACCTCACCGATTGGCGTGTGTCGGGTGGTGGTGGTGGCGGTGAATGGTTTTGAAATAAATAAATAACTATACCATCGAGAGAGAACAAAATCCGTGTCGAGATACAAACGAGGATAAATAGCTCGTGAATGGCGACTGCTGTAGCCGTGACCACACCGCGGGATTTTAATTTTCAGTTTCATTTATTAGGTACGAGGGGGTGGGTGGCCAGCACCACGCCTGGCCGCCACCACGCCCGGCCGCCTTTGTCTCCCCAGTGGCGATGTTCACACACCGCACCAGTTACTCGTTTGAGGCTGAGTCGAGCTAGGAGAGGACCCAGGTCCGGTTCAAATAATCGTCACCGGTGGTGGCCGTGAGTGGGAATCGAACTCGGGTCGCCGGGTTCGTAGCGCAGCGCACTAACCGCTCGCTACACTACAACGCGTTACGCTTCCACGTGCGCGGGTCACGTGACAGATTTGACGTCACAGCTCAATTGCCGTGCAAAAAATGATATGCATTATTGAGCTCCCTCCCTAAAAGTGTATTTTTATAATGTTTGCATGGTGTACAGTCTGGAAAGTACCCACATGGCAAATTTCCAGTTTGTTGCATGTCGGGAAGTACGCTAAACATTTTGAGCAGACACACATAATCACAACTTTGCTGTTTATATATATGGAGATAACCCTGTGAGCCATGCGGCTCTTGACTCGTGTGCAACCGCAACAAAACAAAAACACGAACAAGAAACGTCTTAAACAGAAAAATCCTGGAAAAAACAGCAAAGTCTTCCAGAAAAACACCGCATGTCAATGCTGCGTGCAAAAATCCCAGTGGAATGCAAGTCAAACAATGACAACCCTAAGACAACTTAGATTAAAGTTATCAGGAGCAGAGTCACGGAGAGTCACGGATGGGAAGAGAGAGGGGAAGGGAGGGAGAAGAGGGAGAGCGAGGAATGACAGGGCAAGGCTGGAGAAAGGAGCGGAGAGACGGGAGCACGGGAGGGGAGGAGAGGCGAGGAGGAACGGCGTCTGTTCTCACAGGGGGCGGGGTTGTGGGAGGGGACTCACAGTGGGCGTGGCCACCCACAGACGTCACGTGTTCTTGGTTCTTTCGGTAAATTCACGTAGAAGGGAAATAATAAATATTAAAAATAAAACATAAAAAAATAATTATTTTATTATCTTTTATTTTTAATATTTTATTATTTCTAATAAACATAATAAAATAAATATTTTATTATGTTTTTTTGTCTTATTTTATTAGAAATAATAAAATATTTAAAATAAAACATAAAATTATTATTTTATGTTTTATTTTTATTATTTTATAAAAATATAAAACATAAATTAATTATTTTATGATGTTTTACTTTTTTTATTTTATTAGAACCAAGAAGATGAATCCCTGCAGTCACAAAAGCTTTAAATCGAAATTTAGACGTCACGTGGTTTACGGGAAGCTCCAGCCGATTTAGTTATGAGAATAACAATAATCGATTGAATCGACTCACCACCCAGAAGCGACAATTAATGTAATCGATGGGGGGGGGGGGTAAGGGGTAAATCGTTGGATGATTAGTGACAGGCTAAACGAGGTCAGGGTCAGGTTGAGTTTGTTTACCTAAGAAGCCGTCCACTCCGGGCTGTTGTTGTTGTTGTTGTTTGGAGCTCCACATCTTCGCTCCTGCTTCAGCGCTGAACTCCGGCCAGCATCTCCCACCCTGCCTCTCCCTCCCCACCAACTCTCTTCTTCAGCTCCAACTCCTTTAACAACTTCCACACCCTCTCTTCTCTCTCGCACTCCGTCTCCTGTCCGGCGAAGTCCGAATTCGATCCCCTAGGCCGCCAAAGTCTCAACGTGTCTCTCTCCCCTCCCGTCTCTTCTCCGAACGCCCACTCCGTCTCACCTCTTCATCTCTTCACCTCCCACGGGGCACACTCACTCACCCACTCATTCACCCACTCATTCACTCACCCACTCATTCACCCACTCATTCACCCACCCACTCATTCACCCACTCACTCACCCACCCACTCACTACCCACTCACTACCCACTCACTCACCCACCACTCACCTCACCCACTCACTCACTCACCCACCCACCCACTCACCCACTCACTCACCCTCTCACCCACTCACTCACCCACTCACTTACCCTCTCACCCACTCACTCACCAACTAACTCACCCACCTTCTCACCCACCCTCTCACCCACTCACCCTCTCACCCACTCACCCTCTCACCCACCCACTCACTCACTCACACTCTCACCCACTCACTCACCCTCACCCTCTCACCCACTCACTCACCCTCTCACCCACTCACTCACCCTCTCACCCACTCACTCACCCTCTCACCCACTCACTCACCCTCTCACCCACTCACTCACCAACTAACTCACCCACTCACTCACCAACTAACTCACCCACCTTCTCACCCACCTTCTCACCCACTCACCCTCTCACCCACCCACTCACTCACTCACCCACCCACTCACACTCTCACCCACTCACTCACCCTCACCCTCTCACCCACTCACTCACCCTCTCACCCACTCACTCACCCACTCACCCACTCACTCACCCTCTCACCCACTCACTCACCCTCTCACCCACTCACTCACCCACCCACCCACTCACCCACTCACTCACCCTCTCACTCACTCACTCACCCACTCACCCACCCACTCACCCACTCACTCACTCACTCACCCACTCACTCACCCTCTCACCCTCTCACCCACTCACTCACCCACCCACTCACTCACCCACCCTCTCACCCACTCACTCATCTACTCACCCTCTCACCCACTCACTCACCCACCCACTCACCCACCCACTCACTCACCCCGCTGTCCGACTAAGTCCGAATCGTCATCAGCCGGCAACTCCTCCTGAGCGCACGACGGTCAACCACAGCACCAGCAGCAGCAGCCAAGATGACGGCACCGCGGTGCCAGGCTAGGTGCACGTTGAGGCCACGTTAGGAAGAAAGCGTCCAAAGTCTCGGCTGTTCGGGTCAACACCGGGAGCGTCGTCCTCGGGATGACACGAGACGACTTCGTTTTCACTCCGCAAGCCTCGGCCGCCCGGGCGTCGTCCTCTTGAATATAAAAACGTCTCTCGCTCTCTCGCTCACTCTCTTGCTCGCAGCAGGCCGGTAAATTCCTCTTAGGCGTGAAGATGAACGAGTTGCGGCTCCATTCTCTCTCTCTCGCTCTTGATTCTCGGTGCTGTGTGAGAGTGAAGCGGGCGAAGCGGTAAGAGAGCCACAGCCAGTGAGAGAGAGAGAAGGGAAGGGCTGTGTGGGGGGAGGGAGCAGGAGGAGGGAGTTTGATGGAGGCAGGAGAGGGGGGGCAGAAAACTCCTCCGCACAACTTCGACGCAACACACTTCAGGCTCGCTCCACTGCTAGATCCCCACGCGTGCCAGTCTATCCGCCGTCTCGCCTGGCTGGCTGATCATCAGTTCCACGACCCCCGCACGGAGCGAGAAGCCTTTAACTCGGGACAACACGGGGGGGTGTTTTTTTAAAAGTTCAATATATAATTATAATAATTACAAACTGATGAGAGAAGGGAGAGAGAACCAGCCTGCCTCTCCTCCTCCTCCCTCCCTCCCTCGCCGCCTCACTCAACCACCCACTCACTCACCCACCCACTCACTCACCCACTCACTCACTCACCCACCCACTCACTCACCCACCCACTCACTCACTCACTCACCCACCCACTCACTCACCCACTCACCCACTCACCCACTCACTCACTCACTCACCCACTCACTCACTCACTCACCCACCCACTCACTCACTCACCCACCCACTCACTCACTCACTCACCCACCCACCCACTCACCCACCCACTCACTCACTCACTCACCCACCCACCCACCCACTCACCCACCCACTCACTCACCCACGAGGAGCGACGCAGCGAGCAGTGGACAGATCCTGGCGGCGTCTTCACGCAGGAACTGACGTCACAGGCACTTTGGGAACGGGCACCGCCACTCCGCCCATCGTTGACGCTCGCAGCGTGGGGGGTGGGGAGGGGGGTGGTGGGGGGTGGAGTGGAGGGGGGGTGGTGGTGGGGGGGGGTGCCTCTGTTGCTGGTGGTGGGTGAGGATGTGGTGGTGGGGGGGAGGTGGTGGTGGTGGGGGGTGAGGATGTGATGGTGGTGGTGGGGATGTGGTGGGGGGGGTGCCTCTGTTGCTGGTGGTGGGTGGGGTGATGGTGGTGTGGTGGGGGGGGGTGAGGATGTGATGGTGGTGGTGGGGGGGGTGAGGATGTAGTGGTGGTGGGGAGGTGGTGTGGGGGGGTGATGTTGGTGGTGGGTGGGTGGGGGTGAGGATGTGGTGGTGGGTGGGGTGGTGGTGGGTGGGGGTGGTGGGGGGAGGTTGGTGTGCGGGGTGACTTCTGGAGTTAAGTTACAGACCCCACCTCCACACGCCCCCTTCCTACCGCGAAAGAGACAAAGATCCCCCTTGTAGCCTTCACAGATTTACGGGACAAGTGCGAGCTGCCGGGACGTGATCGCATGTCCACATCCGGCGGCCGCCTTTGTCTCCCCAGTGCTGATGGTATTTTTGCACACCGCTCTGGATACTAATTTGAGGCTAAGTCGACCTAGAGGAGGCCCATGCCCACTACAACTGTTGGGCAGTGAGCGAGAAAAGAAGCCATCGGCATTGGAAAGACAAAGGCGGTCGCTACGGCGTCCTCGCTCTCACCCACACACACACACAAGGCAAAGCTCCCCCGTGTAGCCTCACGGTGTTGTTGGGTCAAGTGAGACGACCACTGCCGATGGAATCCACGACCAGGAATTGAACTCGTGCCCGGCCGGGTTCGTAGCGCAGTGCGCCAACCCTACACCACAACTCTACACCACAACTCTTACACCACAACTCTACACCACAACTCTACACCACAACCCCACACCACAACTCCACACCACAACTCTACACCACAACTCTAAACCACAACTCTACACCCTACACCACAACTCTACACCACAACTCTACACCACAACTCTACACCACAACCCTACACCACAACTCTACACCACAACTCTACACCACAACCCCACAACACAACTCTACACCACAACTCTACACCACAACCCTACACCACAACCTTACAACATAACTCTACACCACAACTCTACACCACAACTCTACACCATAACCCTACACCACAACTCTACACCATAACTCTACACCACAACTCTACACCACAACTCTACACCATAACCCTACACCACAACTCTACACCATAACTCTACACCACAACTCTACACCACAACTCTACACCATAACCCTACACCACAACTCTACACCACAACTCTACACCACAACTCTACACCACAACTCTACACCATAACCCTACACCACAACTCTACACCACAACTCTACACCACAACTCTACACCACAACTCTACACCAGAACTCTACACCACAACTCTACACCACAACTCTACACCACAACTCTACACCACAACCTTACAACATAACTCTACACCACAACTCTACACCACAACTCTACACCACAACTCTACACCACAACCTTACAACATAACTCTACACCACAACTCTACACCACAACTCTACACCACAACTCTACACCACAACTCTACACCATAACCCTACACCACAACTCTACACCACAACTCTACACCACAACTCTACACCACAACTCTACACCAGAACTCTACACCACAACCCTACACCACAACCCTACACCACAACTCTACACCACAACTCTACACCACAACTCTACACTACAACCCTACACCACAACTCTACACCACAACCCTACACCACAACTCTACACTACAACCCTACACCACAACTCTACACCACAACTCTACACCACAACTCTACACCACAACTCTACACTACAACCCTACACCACAACTCTACACCACAACCCTACACCACAACTCTACACTACAACCCTACACCACAACTCTACACCACAACTCTACACCACAACTCTACACCACAACTCTACACCACAACTCTACACCACAACTCTACACCACAACTCTACACCACAACTCTACACCACAACTCTACACCACAACTCTTACACCACAACTCTACACCACAACTCTACACCAGAACTCTACACCACAACCCTACACCACAACCCTACACCACAACTCTACACCACAACTCTACACCACAACTCTACACCACAACTCTACACCACAACCCTACACCACAACTCTACACCACAACTCTACACCACAACTCTAAACCGCAACTCTACACCACAACTCTACACCACAACTCTACACCACAACTCTACACCACAACTCTAAACCACAACTCTACACCACAACTCTACACCACAACTCTACACCACAACTCTTACACCACAACTCTACACCACAACCCTACACCACAACTCTACACCACAACTCTACACCACAACTCTAAACCGCAACTCTACACCCTACACCACAACTCTACACCACAACTCTACACCACAACTCTACACCACAACTCTTACACCACAACCCTACACCACAACTCTACACCACAACTCTGCACCACAACTCTACACTTCAACTCTACACCACAACCCGACACCACAACTCTACACCACAACCCTATACCACAACTCTACACCACAACTCTACACCACAACCCTACACCACAACTCTACACCACAACCCTACACCACAACCCTCCTGTATACCAGGCGAGGTAGTTAACATCTCATAGCCACCGTGATGATAATGAGAGAGAGAGAGACACGCAAACTCCAAATATACAGCAGGCGTCAGGGTCGGGATCGAACCCACGACCTCCTGTATACCAGGCGAGGTAGTTAACATCTCCTAGCCACCGTGATGATGAGAGAGAGACACGCAAACTCCAAATATACAGCAGCAGGCGTCAGGGTCGGGATCGAACCCACGACCTCCTGTATACCAGGCGAGGGAGTTAACATCTCATAGCCACCGCGGCGCCCCTAAGGAGGTCGCTTCTCGAACAGGGGCGGTGGAGGAGTGGTCGAGACCAACAACGGAGTGAAAGCCAAAGGAGGAAGAAAAAAACGCG